CATATAAAGCAGCATATAGCTGCAAATTCTAAACTTAAAACTACCTTCTGCCCATATGCATCTGGTTTAAACTGCAGTCGAAGTATTCCCCACTTTGTCAGTGAGTGTGACACCAGGGTATGGTGCTCACACTGTCACCATCCATGCAAATATCAATGTACAGGAAAGCTTTCAAAACAAAGAATCTGAATTTCAGTGTACAAAGTGATGTAAAACTTTTCCCTCTCTGGACTTAATGTATAATGATTAATGAATCTTCTAAGGGTGTGTGCTTGTGATTAATTCTTTACTATGTGTAGAAAGAGTAAACCTACTCTTCTTCAATACCACTCTTTTCTCCCATCTCTTCCCTCCTTTCCCCCTAAAGATCCAAGCAGCTGATATTAGCAAGGCCTTATATTTCCCATGGAGGAACCAAAGAAATAGTTTAAGAAAAAGAAAGCTACTTGTCAAGAATGAATGGTTCTGGACTAATAAACACCCATAGTTGTAGGCATCTCACAAAAAATCTCACCAAAAGTAGTCTCTTCCGTGCTAAATTACTGCTTTTAATGCAATAAAAAATTAGTTCTCTATTCACCAACTAATTCCTCCAAAAATTTAGGTAAAATGTATTAATAAGTCAAATTTGAAAAACACTCATAAGCTACAAGTAGTGAAGCTGTGTGTGTTTGCATCACATTTAAGCAGACACCTACAATGACAGCAGGGATCTTGTATGGGCATCAATTCCTCAAACTGATCCATGAACAAAATACCCAAACTCACATGACACTCTAAGTGTGGTGAATCTTTTGTCAGACCCGATCCCCCTGAGAAGTCTGGAGGACTGAGGACCATTAACTATTCAACATAGCAAACAAGGCTGAACACTGTGCAGTGCTGAACCCTCCAAAAATTCCACTGCATCTACAAATTCATTTTACCTTGCTGAAAATCCTGCTGAGAAACAGGAACTCCTGACCTTTCATGCCTGCTCCATCAAACTCACTTGGCAACTTCTGCCAAGTGCCCAACTCTTCCTGATACAACTTGGATTTGCAGAGCACTCTCAGCTCCCACTGATTTGCTGAGACCATCTGATCCATGTATAAAAAGGCAGTATATTTCTATTTTGAAGGTATTCTAAAGATTCACTAGAAATCTGGAGGTTTTGAGGAAGCATACAGCTGTAACTAACATTTTACTTCCAGTTTTCCACACTCAGGTAGTTAATAACTGTTCTTGCCTGACTCCTTCCCCACTGTTTCCCCTTTACTCTTTTTCAGACATACAACATTCCTAGATCTCAACTAACCTAATTACCAAGACAGACCCTTACACCCATGCACAGAACCAGTAAGAGTTTTAAAATCAACAGAATTTTGACATACAAACCAAGTTTTTCCATTTTAACACAGGGAGGAAAGCAATCACAGTACCATATTTTGTGTACATTAATCTATTTCATAGCTTTAAGAAAGGCAAGCTTAGAGACCGCTACCAAGATTGCCTTGAACTATATGGACTATGCCTTGGATGCACTTCCATCTATGAAGTTCTTAGCACCTTTCTAAGCTAAAACAATGTTAAAATAATCACAGTCCTAACCTATAAACAATGATTCAAGCCCTAAAATCTCTATGATTAGCCATTCACAGAATTCATTGTGAGCTAACAGCTATTTTCCATCTAATAACCGTAGTCTGAAGACGCTTTGAAGATTCAGAGCACTGAACATGTGGAGCTTTTACCATAACCATTAGAAAGTTCAAAAGCTCATTTCTGTCCTTCTGTCTGCTGAGGTGCATTTGCTTTGCCAAGCAGCGAGGGCCGGGCGTTGCACGCGCCTCATTACACAGTTCTGTCTGCCCACTCTTTAAACAAAACTGTCAGCCTTCAAGCCTTGCTTGAGCAATGCTTTCAAACTGTGGGTCCCCTCCAAGCATGTGAAGTTCCTCCAAATCCTAGTGAGACCATTAGACAAGGAAGGTGAGCAGCATACTGCAAAACGCCACCAGAGAAGGCCAAGTTGCATGCAGTAAACCTAGAACACCAAAATCACTTTCTTAAATGACTCCAAACATGATTCACAAGCTGTTCTTTTGAAGTAGAATACATAAAGTTCCTTTAGACCTGTCAGGCACAAGAGATTATGCTAAAGAATGTTTGCAACATTAAGTTCTTTGCTACCTTTTAGATCTTTTAAGAAGTGCAAACAGCAGCAGTATTGAAAGTTCTTTACAATTTTTCCTGAAGGTTCTCTAGTCACGCTACATCTGCTCCTCCTTTAGTCGTCAGCAATTTTCCTCTCTTCTGTGCTTTACCATGACAATATGTCTTATAATCTTAATGGTGCAATAAATGTAGGCTATGTTCTGCCCCTTTAGATTATACTCTTTTACAGTGAATGATACTGAACTGTAACATCTCCTATGATCTCAAAGCTCTGAAGGATAACAGAGTGGTACACACCTTCTAACAAGTGACAATAGCCGACTTTTTCTCAGTTTGGGCTGATCTCTGAAGCCGGTTAGAAAGAATCTACTGATAGGACAGGCACTGTTCTAAGAAATACATTACAGTTCACTGAACTCTGAAGGACATGATAAAGACCTGAGTGGACCCCCTGAAGTGCCATCCAGTTCCTTGACAGAAAGACCGCAGAACTGGAAGTGAACCATCAGTGAAAGTGGTGCAAGGCATAGAATTATGAAATGCCATCTGGTTGGTACAGGATAAGGAAATGTATCATTTTGGTGGCTTCCACCTCCACAGAAAAATAAAGAACTGTTTATGCAGCAAAATGGTTTGACTATTTGGGAAAGTCCTCAACTAGCCATGAAAATTAAAAAAAAAAAAAAAAAAAAAAAAAAAAAAAAAAAAAAAAAAAAAAAAAAAAAAGAGAAAAAAGAGAAACAAGAGAAAAAAGCTAAAAAAGAGAAAAAAGAGAAAAGAGAGAAAAAAGAGAAAAGATGAATTGGAATAAAAGACAGCAAATTAGAATTAACAGAACTAATAATGCTGAAAACATAAGGAGTCACATCCCTTTAATGCCTAATTTGACAATATTAGAAAATTAAATAAAAACAGAAAATTGTATTCTTAGAGGTGTATATTCAGCAAAGGTGACACTACTGACAGGTAGTGGGGAGCTACACAAGTGGAATGCTACACTCACTACTGCTGCCTATTTAGGACATAGGAAGCAAACAAAAGGGAAAATGGGACTAAACTGAAAATTGCATCACTTGTTTACAAGTCCCTGACAACTCAGAAGCAAACCATCTTGGACATTTATGGATCAATGACCCTGCATCTAAAGCACAAGGAGAGGGAATATTGACTATTTACATACAGAAGAGAACAGCATGTCCATGCACTCAGCTAAAAATGTTCAGAACACTCCCTCACGCCATGACTCCAAGACTGTTATCACACAGGATTTTAACTGATCGTTCTGAGAATTTTACAGCAAGCTCAGGATTTATAAAAATTAGAAAACATAAAAATTCTGAATTTGATACTGTGAAATCTTTACTAGACCTCAGCTTGGTAAGTAAAGAGAAACTGATCGCCAAAATAAAGGTTAGTCATAGCTTAGCTGCAAGTGATTGTGCCTCAGTTGTATTTATTATTCACAAACAAAAAAAACCCACAGGTAATGTGTACTTAGTTCTTTAAAAATTCCAGCTTCATAAAGCTGCAAAAAATCCTGAACTCAGATGTAAGGAAAGAATCTCACTCCAAAGATGAACAACTGTTTTTCAAACAAGACTCTTCTAAAGTTACATACAAACAAATGGGTCACCAATCACAACTAGATGAGAAAGTTAACCCAAAAGTTAAACCTTTCCCTCAGACTACTTATAAACAAATCGTGGGAAACCCAGGGGTAAATCTGAGCCACAGCAATAAGCTTAACTGAAATGCTACAGACGGCCCAGTGAAGCAAAAGACAAGAAACAGCCTTCTGGGTACATTAGGAACAAAAGGAATCCTAGCAGTATTACAAAGTCCATTATTTGACAGAAATTCTTCAGTGTGGAGAATCTACAAAAGGGAGAACTGTTCAACACACAGCTCTAAGACTCCAAAGGTGTCATGACAAACTTTGTGATAAATATTGTCTATTCCTGTAACAAACAACAGTTATAAACAACAGCAGTTAAGGCTAGATATCAGGACACTGGATCCAGCTAAAGCACTCACATCAAGAAAGGTGTTGCAAGAGACCAAACAATCCAGAACAGAGCCATAAGAAACATTAGGAAAGTAGAAAAGTAAGCCTCACAAAGGAAACCTCTACCTCAAAGTACTATGTTTCCCCAAGCCAAGTTTGGGGACAATCCTAGTAAACGTTATCCAAATATCATAGCAGAGGGCTTTTCTGTCTAGCCAAGATACAAGAACCACTAGCCTAAATTTAAAAGCAAATAATTTCAGTTATACAAAATGGCATCTACTTCTAATCCGCTCAGGGGAATTCATTTAACACCACCAGCGGAACTGACTGCCTTGCTGGCAATGTTTAAAGAAAGTAACAAAAGGGTTTCTAAATTATGCATTTTTGCTCCAAGAGGTCTTAATTTAGGGCAGTCCTCTAGCCTACATGACACAGGTTGTTTTAAACAGGGTTTCTGTAAGTACTCACAAGCTTTCTTTTTTTTGGCATGAAATCCTTCTGAATAAAAACAAAAAACAGACTGCTGCTGGAAACCAACAGCACAGCTTTTAAAATTCCCCTCTCATTCCTATGTTTGAGGGAATATTTGTTTTCATGTACCAAGTTTCATAACAAAATCCACTATTTACACAATGCTTATATGCACTTTGAAATGCTCAATATACTCTCTGAATATGTCTTATTTTAAGAGTAAGTGGCACCTATGCCCGCTTGCAGATCAAGACATCTCAGTCTTTGCTATTTTACATTACACTTTCTACACAGTAAACTTCCCCATCTTTCCATTAACTATTTAACCTACCATGCAGCTCAGGAATAAAGTGCAAGTACCTACCAGATAACACTCACTACTGCAGATACTCTGAGCCCTTTCAGAAATCCAGAACTGCCTCCATTACATGGTTTATTGAAGTTGGTGTTGGTTTCCAGTGCTGCACATCCTGGTATAGGGGAGAGCTGAGCATCAGAACGCACCCAAAACCCAGGCACCCCCGGAGGAGTAAACCAGACATCTTCCCCAACTTTGCCTGCACATACACTGTACTGCTCCTTCTTGCTCGCCCCCGCACCGCAACGCCACGGGATGCAAGATAACTCTGGAGCCAGAACTTCATGGCTCGCTGCCTGCCGTCAGTCTGTCAGTCCGTCCGTCCGTCCGTCCGTCCTCCTAGCGGCCAGCGGTGACAGCGGGCAGGAACTCGCCGGCTCCTCTGGGTGCACCGCGACTGAACTTCTTGCTTCTCTTTTCTGACTCACAAGTCAGAATTTTCCTCCGCCCTGAGGCGACCAAAGCCCGTGCAGGCTCCCGGCACGGGGTGGAGGAAGGAAGGATTGGGAGAGGAGTTCGTCCTCGGAGGGATTTGACCCCACTGCGGGCCGGGTCGGGGGGCACGCACAGTCCGCTTTCAAGGGATGCCACGGCTCTGCCTCCACGAGCCCGCCGCCCGACGGGCGATGACCCCCGGCCGCGGGGGCAGCGCCGCCGCCAGACAATGGGGAGGCGGGAGGGCGCGGCCGCCCCACCGCGCCCACCCCGCGGGCGCCGTCCCCGGCCCCCGCTGCCCGGGAGCCGCCCCCGCTCCGGGGCGGCAGCGCTGTCCCGTCCCCACCGGAGGAGCGCCCGGCCCGCTCCCGGGGGAAGCGGGGGCGGGCGCAGGGCGCGCCTCCCCGGGCAGCGGGTCACCCTCCCGCCTCCCGGCGCCGAGAGCCCCCCTCAGCGAGTCCCTACCTGCCGGCGCCGCTCCGCCTCGCCCCCTCAGCCCGCGCCGCCGCCCGCCCGCCGCCTGCGCTCACGGCCGCGCCGCCATCTTGCGCTACACAAACTACTGCACTTCTTTCGGGGCGGGGGGGCGGCGGATGGGCCGGGAGCTCCCAACGCCGCGGCCGCCCGCGCCCTCGCCTCGCCCCGCGGCGCCCACTCGCATCCTCCCGGCGCGGCGCTGCCCCGGGGCGGGAGCGCGGCGAGCGCGGACAGCGCGGCCGCTGCCTCAGCCGCCCTGGCAGCGAGCGGGGGCGGAGCCGCTCCCGCCGCCCCGCCCGTCAGGCGGCGGACACCGGGCGCGGGGGCTGCCCCGGCACCGCAGCGCCGCAGCCCGGGGACACCGGCTGCTCCTCGGCGGCCCGGGGAGGAGCGGGGATGGCAGGGTGGGAGCTCCCGAGCGGCAGCCGCGCCCCCGCGGCCGCTCCTCCGCTGGCAAACTTCGGCTCCGCGCTCGGCCCTCCCGCCGCGCCCGGGACGGGCTCAGGGACAGCATCGTCCCCGGCCCGGGAAGGGTTTTTCTGCCGCTCCGGCCCAGAGCTGCCGCCGAGGGAAGGCACGGCCGCAGGGTCCCGAGACCCAAAGCAGGGCGAGTGAAGACAGAAGTAGTGGCTCTAACGAAAAAGACATTTCCTATACCTTGGGTTGTTGGGGGTTTTTTGTTAGTTAAGACAACTTGGAGAAAGGAGACCTCTCTCCCTTTACTACGTACAAAATATTTAGATTTAACTCTCAGTATTTAGATTTAACTCTCACTGCCCAGTTCTCAAAAATGTTATTTCCCGACACTATTTTTCTCATCACTGTGTGCTATTTTGGGTCAGACAGTAAAATGTGATGCTCTCCTTGAGAAAGAAAATGTGGGGAACCCTTAACTGTTCACAGGTGGACACAGAAGATGAAGATTTACACAGTTGTGCAGCTTTTTTAAGATCTGCCTAGGTACAGGATCCTGTTGAGCCTAGTGACAGGAAGACATGTGCTCAAAACAGAAGTTTTAATCCCAGGAATTTCTGGCTCCTCAATTCCACGCTGTCAGTTTTTGAAATAGTGCTCTTAGGAGATGCACTCAACAAGCTGCCTGCCCCGAGTCACATTGAAATTCGCAATGGCAGCCAAGAAGGAGATCAAGTTAAGGACATTAGTTCATTTATTACATTGCCAATGTCATAAAGTGCATTAAAATGTAAATTTCAATTTTTTTTTCTCCTGAGCTTGTCTTTGCTGTATAATCCGTATACTGAGTGGAGAAGAAGCTGATCACATGCAGTTCTTATTTTAAAATCATAGTATTTGTCCTTGTGTTTTAAATGCAAGATTATCAATTATCAAAATTGTTCTGTGATTAAAATAGAGCAGACAACCCACCACTAAAAAGAGATGAATTTTTTATTAATACCCACCAAACAATACAGAGAAAAAAAAACTACATAGCACACCGATGTTTGAACAAACACAGTAGAAAGACACAAAAAGAGAACACTACTGACAGAGGTCAGAAACCAAACACAAAGAAGGATTGCACAGTTTGGTGTGTCAGTATTGTCACATGTTGTCTATATGAGGTGACAGAACAGAAAAGTGAAGGGTCATGCCACATATTTTATCATGATTTATATAAAATTTTATTTTCATATAGTTAAACTTTATCCTTTTTTTTTAAATAACTATCAAATTAACAGATAAATTTTCACTGCTGGTTTGAAGAGAAATAGTTCTTCAAAACAGGGTACTGCTTTGCTTTTACTTCAATATATTTATCACCAACAATATATTCACTTTTATGTAATAAACAGATATGATTCTTCCCAGGTAGCTAGAAAACTATTTACAACTGAATTCAACTACAAGCTATCTGATGAACTAACAATTTGTGTTAAAATGCTTTTCTCCAGTATTGTCATTATTATAAGCATTACTTTACCTTAGAAAGTTACAGTAGTAAATCTTGCTTTGTTTCAAGTTAGGTTTTCTTTTAAAGAGAGGTACTGAAATTATCTATTCAGATCTGCAGCGTTCAAAAGGCAATCACAGCAGTATGTCACATTAAAATATACATATCTAGAAGGGAAATATCAGTCATTAAATGACTTCATTTGAGCTTTCTTAATAAATTTTAAGATATATTTGTATAAATATATATGTAGACCTAGTATTTATTGAACAATGCAAAATAAAAACAGCATGCAATAAAAAGAAAACATTACAGAGTGAAATCAAGTATCATGGAAGGCTGTAATTTCTTTCTTCATTGCCTAAGAAGAAAAAAAGACAAATTGTGTGTGAATACCAACTTAAGAACCCTGTTTACTACTTGTGAATACAAACTTAAGAACCCTGTTTACTACTTCATCAAAAGAAGCAAGAATCTGTGCACACAATTGTTAGTAATGATTTAGCCAATATATGTGCTACCACCATCACTGTTCTATACTCACTGGCTCCAACACATCCTTATGCACCCAAAATAGAGAGTAGGCTAGGAAAACTGCAGGGATCTGTATCAGGGGGCTATGGACCAATGGTGCTTTCAGCAGTTAGAGAGGAGACAGTTCCCAAAGAGTCACAGCTAAAAGCTGAACTGTTCTTTTCTGCACCCTGAATAAATACTTGTTAAAGTCTCTGTCTTCATACAGTAGAACTTACTCCTGGACTTGTGCAATCCCTCTGAATAGGAAATATTCTTTGGTTAAATGTCAGAGAAGCAGAAAACAAAGAAATCAAGTTCTGTCACAAAAGCTCACAAGCACCAGGATAACAAACATGCTAAATCATGTCATTATGATAGATAGGAGAAGGGTGCATTTTTCAGGAATGGTATCCCTGAATCCAAGTAATCCTCGCTGTTGCACAATCAGAGCAAGAGCATCTGACTCTCTATGAGATGTGGAAGAAGAGATCAAGATGACCAGGACACAAGAGAAGAGGCTTCCTGGCTGTTTTAAGGAAGACTGAGATGCATAAAAACATTTTATCTATTTTTATGCATGACCACCTGGAAGACAAATGAATTCAAGGACTTTGAAGCTGAAGACTGAATATCCAACCTATCTAAATCAACTCAACACTGGGAATGACAGACTGGGACCATAGGTTCCTGTGGAGTATTTCTGTCAAGTTCTGACAACTTGGAAATCCTCTCTTAGAAGGAGAGATTACAGAATTTGACTTGTTAGCATTAAACCTTCATAGGCAGGAAGCTCCCATATATGAAATTAAAGATGCTTGAGCTGTTCTAGCTAAAAAGGAAGTCTGGTGAGACTAAAGTCTCTTCTTGTTATGCCTCATATTTAGTTTCTTTTCAGGAATGGAATGCCTGCTATACAAGTGTTACCATGTGTGACTGCCCGCAAGAGGAGAACGAGGAAGTGACAGACTGAGAAAAGCACCCTCCTTTCACAGCCCCCCCAGTACTGAAAAGGTACTGGAGCAGGAGTGGTGACAGACTGAGGTTAACTGCCTTGAGAGGGCTTTGGGGGGGACCCATCATCTTCAAACCTTCTCCTGCTGAAACTGCCAACAGCTAAGCCAAATGCAACAATAGTTTTGCAATATGGAGAAATGTCTTCCAGACTGTAATGAACAAATCTTGTAACACAGGCAACTAAGCAGCAATGAGTAATATTAAATAACCATGACATTCACAGGGCACACGTACATATGCATAACACACACACACCTGTAATAATGACTAAGTGCTACAAGACAAAAAAAATTACCTTCACTAATTCGTTTTTGTCACCATCTTCCCGGTGTTGGTAAATGCACTGGCTAAGGACAGCATATAGTTTTTCCATGCGAAATATACTGACGTTCTCAGTTACCACGGCAATAGAATGCAGCACTTGCTGAAGAAAAAAAATGGAAACCAGAGTTCAGAAGCACAAGATAAGCTGCAAACAGAAAAGGTAGGACAGGTGTATGGCCAGCTTCCCATGTGAAACTTTAATTGCTGCCAGGGAAGTGACTGCACTCTCTTGTACGTGTTCATTCAGTTCTAGGCCTATAATCAAGCAAATAAACAAAAAAACCCAAAATCCCAAACAAACAAAAAACCAACCAAACAAAAACCACCAAAAAAAAAAAAAAAAAACCCAAAAAAAAAACCCCCCAAAAAACAAAAAAAAAAAACCCTCAAAATCCCAAACAAAACCAAGCAGCTACAGTTTGGAGGGTCACCCAGCTTATTGTCTGCAAGTGAATTCCAAAGAGGCTCTCTAATAGAAGCAGTAAGTTCCAGTGGCACTCCTGTTAAGGAATCAAGTTTTCTAACAGATGCATTTCATGACTGTAGCTCTGTCCTCACAGCTGAGAGCTCTGTAAGGGCTCTATGGTATCCCTCCAGTGGGCAGTACCTTCAGAGCACATGCTGCTGGCACCCTGACTCTAGAGAAACTCACGTGGATTGGCTTCACAGACAGACATGAACAACACCTTCCTTGCAAGGGGAAGTGGAGGGGCAGGCACTGATATCCATCTCAGCTCCTTGGTGACCACTGACAGGACCCAAGGGAACAGCATGAAGCTGTGTCAGGGGGAATTTAGGCTGGATATAAGGAACAAGTTCTTCACCCAGAGGGTGGTCAGGCAGTAGAACAGGCTCCTCAGGAAAGTGGCTACAGCACCAAGCTTGACAGAGCTCAAGAAACATTCAATGTTCTCAAGCTCATGGCAGGACTGTCGGGGATGCCCTATGCAGGGCCAGGAGTTGGACTTTATCCTTCAAGGTCCCTTCCAAGGGATATTCTATCATTCTATGAACACAACCCCATAAAATTTGCTTGCTTAGGAAGCCTGTCCT